CGGAGCATAGGGGAAGAGTCCCTAAGCCTGCGAGGGCGCGAGGTCACAGTAATCATTCTTTCATCCGAAGCCTTCCCTTAAAAATCGCAAGCTAGCGTAGTCGTAATGGGACATTGCAAACATGCTTTCCTACAGAACCTTAGAAACAAAATCTTTACAGAATCCAAACATTTCCCTACCGACTGATGAGATCCTTGGGTGTCTCTTTCACAAGCGTATTGAAAACTTCTCTCAGTAGATTATGTGGCCACTTGGAGCGGTCCGCAATTACTGCTGCTTCCACATTCTTGAAATAGTAAAATGTTATTATGAGGTAGAACAAGCCGCAGATCCTACAGCTAACTCACATTATCCGCAAAAACTCCACGCATCTTCTTCTGGAACAAATCTGTTGGTCGATCAATGTCAAGCGCCGCTGTCGTGGCCGGGACACCATTCTTTCGCTCCATAGAATGTTTAATTTGGGCCTAAACTAGTCGATTACTACGCACATAAGAATAACAGATGGGGTCTTAAGCAAGTAACCTGTCTCAGCTGCCACTTTCTATAAATGTGGAACATTGGTGTTGCACCACCAACCCATTGAATTAGTCCTGATCTTGTCCCAAGAGGAGTCACGGCGTAATGGCGAGCACAATACGGAGGCCAACTTCTGTAATTAGCACCAATAATATCAAAAATATAGTTGTTTTTTAGAAAAGGTACTGAGATGGAATCATCCAAAAAGGCGCAGGTGCTGCACAGGTTCGTTACCTGCGCAGAGCAAGGTCGTGTGCCACCTAACACGCTAATGACGCGAGAACCTGTACGGCCCGCTGTCGATGACGTCTTAAGATACGTCATGAATGCCTCGCGTGACGTCATCTATTCTTCAAGGACAAACTCTTCACACACCCCGTAAATCCTGGTCCTTGCCATTTGCTAAGTGAATGGATCCGTAGTTGCAGTTGCGTGGCACCTTCTACGCTCAAAAGTGGATAGCAACAGGGACAAGGTACCTGGGTGCTACTACTGACTCCGCTAGCGCTTTCGTCAAGGGGCAGAACATGAAGGCTTGATTTTAGGCCCGCCCAGGCGCTATGTCTCCCTCATTTTTGCGCCTATTCATTTCCTATACCTTCTCAGTTTTCCACTCTCCGTGTCCCTCTGGAACTGGAACACTGAGACTGAGGATACCAACTCGTCCTGCGCCATTCAGAATGATGATGATATACTTTCCTAGAAGCGTCTTCGGACGCTGATATCAAATCTGGCTTCCAAATCTGCTAAACGATTCTGGGTGAGGAGTTACGGACCTTTTTTGCTACTGTGCTTAACCATTGCGGTGCGCCCCCCTGCTTATGCTTCGCGCTTGTAAACCCTTCGTGACCCAACCGCCATCGTGGCTCGGTGGCGCAGTAGGTAAGTGGATGGACTCACAGTCGTGCGATGGGGGTTCGAGCTCTTCGCACTACCGTTTCGTAGTTTTGCTTTTCTTGAAACGTGCGCTCAACACTTGGGAAGTAGTTTTGCATACCTGTCCGACCACCAAGACAACTCCCTGCTCTTTATTGAGCCCCGCGAACGATTTTCGTGAAAAATTACACTTCTACCTAACTCGTTCATGCAAGGGACATGCATATCTGCTGCAAGCTACGTGATCTTGCCAAAATACCATCCTATATAAAATGACAACGTGTGTGGGCAACGAAAGATTTCAACATGTTCGGTAGCTCTAATCACCCACGCACACAATATCAGCCAACACCTCTGCGACCGTGCCTACCATAACTAAAGTAATATTAGGCACTGTTGAACTAACCACTCGATCGGCGGCTTCGCGGCGTCCTCTCCGTGTGTGAAGGTGGTCCTGTGTGAAGTTTTTCCAGGGTGGAGGGCCAGTCGGGATCGCTTGCCTGTTGCGAATGTCGAAAAATTGTTTGGAGAATTACAGCACTCTTACCGGGTTTCACTTCTTGTATTATACCCCCCCCCCCCACCCCCCCCCCCCCCCCCCCCCCCCCCCCCTAGAAGGCAGTCAGTCATCAAATTTTCTATGCGGCACACCGCTTTAGGTTACCTTGCTTAACCTCCCTGACAATTGACTGATCCTCTAGCAATCCCACTTCGAATCCGTCCAGCAGAAGCAGGTGGTCTTCAATTTTTGGGTGGTCAGACAGACACACACACACACAAACAACATCTGGTTTGATATAGTTAGATAGGGAGCTGCGCCGTGCCGTGTCTCGTAAACAGTTACGAAATTTGAGTCTAAGTACAGGGGCAAAGTTCATCTTGGAGCTCAATGGGTACTGAAGAAGTACTATGCGTGGAGGGCCAGTCGGATCGGCCGGCTTCGCCGGCCGATCCTCCTTCCGGGTGTGAAGTGGGTCCCTGTGTGAAGTTTTCCAGGCGTGGAGGGCCAGTCGGATCGGCTTCGCCGGGCGAATGGTCGAAAAAATTGTTTTGAGAATTACAGCACTTTACCGTTTCACTTCTTGTATATACCCCCCCTAGAAGGCAGTCATCAAAATTTTCTATGCGGCACACCCTTTGTAGGTTACTTGCATTACTCCCTGGACAAATTGCTGATCTTCTAGCAATCCCTCACTTCGATATCCGTCCAGCAAAGCAGGTGCCGTTCTTCAGATTTTTTGGGTGGTCAGACAGGACACACACAACACAAAACAACGTTCTCTGTTTATAGTATAAGTAATATTAGGCACTGTTGAACCACTCCTACCCCAGAAAGCTCAAAAAAATTTTATCGCTGAAACGTTGTCTACAGATGCAGTTCTATGCCCTGATCACGGTTTTAACCCTCGTTTCGAGCGCTGGCGTCATTTGGCGCCATTATGCACCAATTTCAATGCGCCCACCACTTTTTTCTTCCAAAGTTGATGAAAACTTGCATATGTGAGGGTTAATTGAGGTCCTGATTAAGAATGTCCCACAGGTTTCCAGCGTTGGCGCGATTTGGCGCCATGATGCGCCAATATGGCGCCAAATTGGCGCATAATGGCGCCAAATCGCACCAGCGCCTAGCGCGAATGCTGGTTCCGTAATCAGGACCTCAATTAACCCCCATATGCAAGTTTTCATCGACTTTGGTGAAAAAAATGGTGGGCGCCAACTTGGCGCAGAATGGCGCCAAATGACTCCAGCGCTCGAAACGAATGTGATATTCGTGATCTGGGCATCGAATTACACCTATAGGCAACGTTTCACGTCGAAAAAGTTTTTTTTGAGTTTCTGCGCGGTCAATGAGTGTCAATGTCAATTACGAGGTTGTCGACACACTGTACTACAACCTTGCAATTGACTGCGGGGAAGATAGCTCGTAGAGGACGACAATACGGATCCTCTCTGATCACGTGTGATGGCGATGAAGAAAGTTCCCTAGGAGCTAGAAGACAGCTACGTCACTTTCGGGATGTAAAGGTCCCGATAGAGAAGGTAGTTCGCTTGTACCCATTGCCCACTTATGGACTTCACTTTATACAAGTCCATATCAAGTATGCGTGTGGTTTAAGTGAATGAAGCCATTGCCTTCTACCGTTCGAGTGCGAAAAAGTCGCATTAATTACAAAAATATATGCGTTAAATAAAGCTGCCATACCAACGCTATGAAAATGAATGCTTTCACTGAAGTCAAAATGAAACCCCTCTCAAAATTCAGACATAGGGTCTAATAAGCAGCAGGGAGGGGTCTTGGTGGTCGTACAGGTATGCAAAACTACTTCCCAAGTGTTGAGCGCACGTTTCAAGAAAAAGCAAAACTACGAAACGCATCAAGGACTCGAACCCCCATCGCACGACTGTGAGTCCATCCACTTACCTACTGCCACCGAGCCACGATGGCGGTTGGGTCACGAAGGGTTTACAAGCGCGAAGCATAAGCAGGGGGCGCACCGCAATGGTTAAGCACAGTAGCAAAAAAGGTCCGTAACTCCTCACCCAGAATCGTTTAGCAGATTTGGAAGCCAGATTTGATATCAGCGTCCGAAGACGCTTCTAGGAGTATACATCTCATTCTGAATGGCCAGGACGAGTTGGTATCCTTCCCTTGTTAGATGATTCTAGCCCAGTCCACTCGCGGTATGTCTCCTTCATTTCCCCGCCACTTGCGTCAATGCAAAGGTCCCGCAGCGAAACACACACTTTGCCGTAGAGGACTACTAGGGAGTGAGATGGAGGAGGCAGTTATCCCGCCTGATTATGGTTAGGCGTCAGGCTGGCCGTGCGGCAGCGCGGGTGGGGTCGGGAGATTGCTTCGGGCATCGCGACCCTTCAGCTCCGTTCCCGTGTCCTTCTGGGAAAGTGCAGCTGCAGTTGCGGACCTATTCACCTCCTTTGGTAACGAACGGGATCCACGTAGAGGAATTTATAGAGGAATTTACAGCTTGTCTTCAGCAGGTAATGTAGTAGATCGCTTCCTTGCGCTACGCCTGCTTCTGGGAAGTTTTAAAGGGAACATGGAAAAACGACAAACATACTCAGGAAATGGTAACCTACCGACTTGATGAATTACCAGCAAGCATAAGATTACAAATATGCAACAACTGCATAATTCGCTCATCCAGATGAAGATCTTCTTGGCCTTTGAACAGGAACATATGCCTGAAAATATGTTCCTTCAACAAAATATTCGGGAATTCCTGGTAGCTGAGCCGACTTACTCTTTTCCCTCGCTGCCAATGAACGCTATCTTCTTCGGCCTGGTCTTTGTTGGTAACACAAGAGCGTTCTTTACTACGCGGTCAATCGTCACTACTTCACTGAACTCGATATTCTCTTGGCCAGGAATCGGAATGTTGCTCTTGGACAGCTATAAAAATTTTGTTACTAAGCTGTATCATTGGAAACACTGAAATCACTTGACCTCTCTTTTCCTACTTGGAAATTTGGCCCTCATTACCCTTAAGATTTGCTTCTCGGGAAAGAATCGACCAGAAACTTCCCCTGGAGGTAGCCTGCTCCGAATAGAGCGTGGGGAACGAAAACGCTTAGCGTACGAGTGAGGAATGAAAACGCTGCGGAAGCCGGATCGGAGCCTGTAATGCGGACCGCGAACGTTTCCGCGCTAAACGAATGTGACGTTCTTGTTCTATGAAGAAAACTTTTTCTGCAGGTAAGTTGCCAGGAAATCTAGCGAGGTGCTTGCAAACAGAGGGATCCCATCTTAGTATTCATAAGTCAAAAACCCCCCAAGGACCGATTAGAAAAATCCACCATCTGGGGAGGGGGGTGGCGAAGTTTAGCTTTTCAACGAAAACTTCCCCGAAAGCCGGCCGTGAAAGTCGAAGAGTACCAAACCAAGCAAATAACAAATAAACGATACAAGATCACCCGAAAGAGGGTTACCTCGCTTAGAATTGGAGATATCTCTGGCATTTGCAAAGAATGGCCACCACGACGAGAATTCTTCTGCAGTAGTATTCCTAGCATCTGAAAACAATTTTTGATAGAACTGGCTCCTGAGCTATTGCATGAAAATCGTTTCTTTTTATTGATTTTGATACCAAATAGACAATAAATGTTGATAAGAAACCACCGAGAATTTTCGTACTACTGTATTGTTTAGGTCCACGTGGCTGCGCGGCTGAGTCCGCTGCGAGACGACGCCGCGTGGGCTTCAATCGTGTTCGCCAGCATTCAGACTTCGCGATGACGCGCTTCGACACGCTACAGTCGCAACTGTCCTCCAGTTCTGTCGACGTGGACGCAGCGCATATGGAAATCGAGTAGCGCGGGCCGCAAGTGTACTGAAGGAATGTAGGAGAATAGGAGGATACGCAGTCTGGTATCGATTGGCACTGATCGCTAGGACTTGGGAGAATTTAGAGAAATGAGAGAGTACCAGACTGTGTGAAGGCAGCGCCAGCCCTCCTGCTATCCTATGCTTTATCGAAACAAGAGGCCAGCTCCAATTGCGTTTGCGTCTAGGAATTGTAGCGCGTAAACGCGCGTTATAGCTCATCGTCGCAAAGTCTGAACACAGTTTCGCACTTCTAGCGCTTGGCCCTGGAAGGATAAGGAGAGTATCTCAGTGAGAGGACGCAAAAGAAGCATCGCTGCATTAGTCAGGCTGTCACGCGTCAACCCCTTCCAACTAGAAGAGAGCTCTAGATTCAAATTTTGATTTCACTCACATGCTTGAAAGGCGCCCATGACTTTTCTGGACTCTTTCTATTGGCACGAGATTGCTCGAATACAGACTGCAGCTTCTCGCCGTACAACTGCACGAAAGCTCGTTCGTTCTGCGTAGTTGGTTCTCGGAGGCATGTTCTCTCGTAAAGATCATCAAGAATCCGGTACACCTAGAGAAAGTATCGTTTTAATGAAAGTTCAAAAACTCAAGTTCGATTATTCCACGTACAGATGAAGTAATCAAACGCGATTTCTCGGCAATTATATCCAAACGAGTCTTCTCGTCCAAATGGGCGGTATTGACCGTTTTCTCGCTTTCTGCTCGGATCTGCTCTAAACGTTTCTCCATTTCATGGTCCAAATTGGCCAGCACAAAAGGTCCACCTGAAGACATAACTCGTAATCCTGCAATCTGTTCAAGTCTGCATTGTTGTAAAGTTTCGCAACGTCCAGTACAGTTTCACAGTTTTATTTCTGGCATCAGATATTCTATAGCAATCAAAGAATAACTAGCGGCAATATGCACTGCGGATCCCCGAAGAACACAGCCGGGCAAGGGATCGGGCAAGATGACCGTAACTTCCTGCGTCGTCGCGCGCGGCGTATCGTGCGGCGATGCACGTCAATATCAATTTGTCGATTGGAGCAGCGAAACTCATATGATCTCAGGCGGATACCAGATTCAATTGCAGGCGATATCAGAGTTTTCGAGAGACGGTTTTCGAGAGGGCGATTTCAACGTAAGCTAACTAGGTCGCACCGCTTAAGTCGCGCGCGGCGGGTCGCGCGGCAGTGTCAGAGTGGCACCACTGAATCCAGTTGTTGAAAGAAGGAATTTGCTCTGGTTTACGGTGTGTTCCTCAGAGTAGCAACAATAAAATGGATACCCTTCATTGTTTTACGAGCCGTGAGACAACCAGCTCGTACGCAGAGACTGCGGCGTCGTAGACCACGCCCATCGCCGCGGTCCTATGATGGGATGGCCACATATCCCGAATTTTCCCATTCGATTCGATGCTCTAAATCAAACCGACAAGCACAGGACAGCCCGTCCGTCAGACGAGGCGGCGCCCGCGACGCCCACCACAGCGGAGTTTATCGGTTGTTTTCGCAATTACCTCATATCCTTGGCTTACAAAAAGATAAAAAACTAGGGAAGTAGTTATCCTTCTGGTTTGCTCCACATTCTAAAATTTATTCCTGGGAGTATATTTGACCAGATCTTCGTGCCCGAGCAAATCTTGACCCATACAAAGGCTCCCATACATTTAGCGCAGAAATTTTGTGATCCGCGCAGGTGACGACACCCAAACAGTCATGTAGCGCTAGTGCATGTAATGTGGGCGCTTTATAGAGGCGTGACAATCAAGTAATCAGACCGCATGCCAGCCAATTCCACCCGGATAAAATACTGAGAAAAATCGATTTTAAACTTCCAAAACGGGGCTCGAAATAAAACTCCAAAGGTAAATAAAGGATAGACGCTCACCTCTCCTCATTCAACAAATTGATTCGCTGTAGTTCATTGACGAATTCTCTCACATCCTTAACCAGATCGGGATAATGACCTTCAAGTACGGACACAAGCACACGGCATCCTTCGAACATCAGGCAACGTTCCTGAATACAGCCCCCGTTAGTAGGGTTACGCTTTAGCAGAATGAGCTTATTATAAGAGCACTAACTTTGCTGCTACTCTCATCATCCTCCTTCTCATTTGTTTCAATCACATCATCCTCACTTGCCACTAGCATACTGGATGAAGCTCCCGCGACTGCTTGAAAAACTATGGCATGTGGAGCGGAGAACCTAAAGTACGAAAGTTATTATGGGAATAGCTCAAGCGTCTGTACCTGAGAAAACAAAGCACGTACAAAGCCTTGACAAGAGTCCCAGCAATGATTCTCGAACCTCTTTTACCGGATGGGATAGCCGAGCGAACAGCTGCGGTAAAATGTCTGAAATTTGATGAAATTCGACTACAGCTTGACCAAGCGCACATTCCACGCTGACGAAGTAGGCGGTGTCAGTATGCTTCATACTTGCGATAGCCTTTTGAGCGATAATCGATACCTATGCTTTCTTAGCCGCTCAAAACGCTCGAAACGTGGACGCTCACAGACGCCCAAAACACTGACGCAAAGTATGAACACACTCACAAGCGGGCTACTTTAGATTTCTTGGTGACGCGATTCTTCCCTCTGCTAACGAAGAAAGGAAAGCAGTTACAAGGAGCGAACCAACGCCCATACGCCAAGCGAGGAATGTGTCTCTGGACAAAATAAGTGAAAGTTTTTCTGGCAAACCTTTCCATAGATGTTCGTTTGTAATTCTTAGACCTTGGTCGATTACTTCATGCAGAATGTCAGAAGTGCTTAGCACAGATTTGAGAAATGCGCAACGCTCGCCGAAACGCTGCTCAATCGTGCCCTGTAATATTCGAAATAATCAACAGGAGGTACTCAAAACAGAAGGAAAGAGAATGCAAGTCATGAACAAGATTAACCTAGAAAGAGAAAAGACAGTCCTCTTTACAAAATAAGATTAATAGGATGCCCGCCCGGTCCACTCCACAAATCAAGACGAACCTTAGGATACTGCTTATTTTGATTGTTATAAAAATATTCCTAGAACGGGACAAATTCCAAAGTCAGCCTAAGCGGTACGCAGATGGCACAAGTGGGTGGAGACTCACAACTTGGTCCTCCAATATTTGTCATTTCTGTTCAATGAACTTAGACAGGGTCACCAAATCAGAAAGGCCCCAGTGTTGGTCGGCCCCAAGGGCCTCCTACATCCCCATTCTGCTTCCCATCTTCCTAGAATCTCCAACTTCATATGACTGTCCCGCTTTGGGAAGGAAGTATGTAACAGGGCACAGCATTCGATGGGGATTTAGTCGAGCTTTTAAGACCCCCCCTTTTCAGGGACTGCTTAGTACGACCCCACCCTCCATGTCGGCTACGATGTGACGTGCGCGATGCTCTGTGGTCTGTGGTTTATACTCGGCGAAGCTTGTTCCAGCAGGGGGGGGAGGTGTATAAGCCCCTTGAAAAAAAAAAAAAGGGGGGGCGTACATAGTACCTATAACACAGAAAATTCATAAAACCCATGAAGTGAACCACGTAACTCCTAGCCAGAAATACGACCCCCCTCCCAACAACGACCAAAATACGACCCCCCCTCCAAAACGTCCGCGAAGCGAGAAAAATCAAACTTATAAAAAATCAAATTTTTCCCAGGCCCAATACGCACCCCCTCCCTTTGCGGCCTTCATACGCCCCCCCCCATAGGCGAATCCCCATCGAACGCTGCTGCTGCGGTATGTAAAGGAGGGGGTTATGTGTAGTACACCGAACAGAAAAAAGATGAACAACCCACGACCTATAGCTTCACCGTTTTGCCGCCCAAGTGCGAAGAAATGTAGGAGAAATAGGACGAAACGGATAAATTGTAAAAGACGGAACGGCGTTGACGTATTTGGGCCCAAAGGCTCGTGAAATGACTGTCACTTCGTTAATAAACTGAAAAAGAACTCCAATAAAACAACAACATCAATCTGCTATAAATAGGCAAAAAATCATGAGCGTCAAAGAAAGGAGTCCTTATTAGCTCTTGGTACAACAAGTAATTCTGAACGCTAGTCGATCACAGGAATCTACAGGTCTTCACAAGGTGGCCTAATAGCTGAGCACCATTTGGCACCTCATCAGAACATCAAAATTCAAAAAATCCAAACGAGAGCTTAGTGTATATCCTACAAATACTCGGGTAGAAAGGGCCACCTTTCAGCTATGATGAGATCGTTTGGCATCACTGCTAGCACACTTCTCCCTCAGATGGGCAACCGAATTCGCCGTGTTCAAAGCTTTCCACAATCCATCCAAAGCCGCGTCGGACACGTTATCGCCGAGAAGCACCTAGTAGGAGAGTCATCAGTACTAGAGGCAAAAAAGAAGCAGTATAAAAAGTAACAGATACGACATTTGCCCCTAGGTTCAGTAACAGCCGCATCAATCACCCAAATAGATAATGGATTTCATGAACTCACTCGATAATTCTTAGAAAATAGCAGCCTATCCTTTTCGTTATCGGCACTTTCAGCCGAATTAAACGCCCAATCACCTAGTTTACGATGGGCTTTACCAAGAGTAGGAGCGACTTCTGTGGCAACAGCTAGGAGACTTCCGACCAGATCACAACCCATCATCTCACGACATTCTTCCATGTCGCCATTCTGAAAAAATTAAAAATAGCATCCAAGGAGAAGCGAAGTGTTCAGAAGCCCTTACCCATAGGCGAGACTGACGGCACTCAGGAGGGATTGCCTGAGACTAACTGTGGACTATCGACGAGCCAATTTGAGAGACGTAGGCAAGTGCGGGACATCTCTTCCCCGAGAGCCGTAGAAGATGCTGGCGTGATAAAATGCCGACATTTGGCGGAGGTACACCGTATGGAACTGAAAAATGCTTATTGAAACCTTTTTGAACAGTTATCATTATTATGTGATTATTTCTAAGCTTACTCTATAGCCAGAAATGATCTTTAAAGGCCAAGCCTTACCTGCTATAGGACCAAATCCATTCACAAAACCATTCATGCCTTCAAACGGTGGTGGAACTCCTTAAAAATATGTGGCAGTCACGAGGGTAAAAAACACGCATTACAGATCCTGTTTTGCTACGGATTCTAGGAGCCTATAGCAGGCTGCGGATTTTGGCGGCGCCATCCTGATCCGCCACCAATTCGTTGAAGAACTGGGCGACAACCAAGTGTGGAGAGCGGGGCTGGGCGCCGAGCTAAACGCATGCTCCCCCCCCCCCTAACACCACAGTATCCGCAGCGAAAAGACTTCATAAACCTCTTCAACATACCATATTTACGTTGGCAGCGATAACTTGATAGGAATGGCACATCATTTCATAGCCTCCTTGAAGTGTTGCGAATACGGTCACAAAACTTCGAGCCCGTTGTTCCGGTGATGCGATTTCCCACATCTGGAATAGAATCTCTCTGAATGATGGCCGGATCATTAGGTTGCAAATATGGTGCCTTCCTAATGGCGGCAGAAGCCGTCAAATTCGTAGAGCGCTTTTTAAATGGCAGGAATTGAGTAATTTGAAAAATTACGAGGCTAACCGAAATCCTAGAGATTTTTCTACTCCGCACAGTACCCACAAATAATAAATACTCAAAAAGTAACACTGCGGTCACACTTTGCGGATAAGAAAGGTCCGCAAAAGGGAGAATTCGGGATTTGAGAAAATGAGCTAAACAGAGAGTGAACGCAACGATCTAGAGTCTCCACGATTACTAAAATACGGGGCCAAGGAGAATTGGCATCACTCGATCCCCATCTTATTGACTGTCGCTGGTTCTCCCAAGTCGCACATTCTGCACATTAAGGCCGGGTTCATACTTTTGCGACTGTGGAGGATCCGTTGACTTGCGACATTGCGCGACGTGGGAAGAATAGGCTTCGATCTGGCGAGTGTAGATTGAGCGCCACGGGTATTTGCGAGAGCTTTTAGCATTGCCGGCAATTGCGCGCTAAAGGAATGGACGAGTATGCGTCAGCGCCGATCGCTGAAACACCTGATCGGCCAACGTCTTAAAACGCACAATGGCTCAATCCGCAAATTGTCGGATCACCGAAATCTCCCCTATTCGCTGACGACACGGCGCGTATCGATTACCCACTCTTTCCTTGGGCGTTGGGGTACGTAGCGAAAAGCGGAATCGTTGGATCGCTTGATCTCTACAGTCGACGAATCTATATCTATGCTTTCTTCGTGGCGCAATCTCTCAAATCGCCCAGTCTCCCAAATCGGCGAATCTTCTTAGTCGAAACGCATGAATGTGGCTTGAAAGAAAAACAGCGACACAAGACCTCCAAAGAAACGTACCATTTTCGTTCCTTGTACTGCGACCTTTAAGCTGTTCAGTACTGGACTGTTATTGATGAGCACCGGGTTGTTACTGGCTTTATGCAGATGAACACCAGCCAACATCGGATTGCCTGTCTTCCTAGCCAATTTAGCCAACGGCAGATGCAGATGTGCAGGACTTGAGCCTGTACAGAGCAGTTGTTACACCAGTACGCATGTAGTGGATAATCAGAAAAAGCTATTCGAGGTACTCACATCCAAGTCTCTCTGCCCACAACGCCAGTTGCCTACCAAGGCGAAGACGTTCACCAGCATCATAAGTTTCCCCATTTTCTACAAGGAACGATGCTGCTAAATCTGACAGGACTGCCTAAAAACTAGTTGGTAAATCATTTTTGCATTACAAAATAGCATGGCGCTGATGTGTCACAGGTATATGGTCCACTTCTTGCCCATCAAGAGGTGGATGAGGTGTCATTGACGTCACACCACATGTCAACGACATGTCTTGAGACGTCATTGACAACTTATAATTCGACTTTTCCCGCATTGACCGTGTGGTAGCGCGTTCATACTCGAGCGTCAGTCGTAATCGCGAACTCTGAAGTTGCCCCTCAATTCTTGGAGTATAAACGCGCCTTATCTTCACGCATATCTGCTACTTGCTTAAGAAGCGAAATGGACAGCTACACCTGCGCTTAAACTGGTTTTCAAAACGACATTAACCGCATTCGAGTTCAGAGATCGATCGTCTTTTTCTGCCCATTTTCGCCAGAACACATCAGCTAGCTGATTTAAGACCGCCAATCTGCCATGAAGCCGTTGTCCTCCATCCGTCATCAGGACCAAACGGGCCGTGTTCGCGACGTTTTCACGCATGCTCGCTACTTCAGCTCTTGAAAAAAAGTTGATAGCAGTAAGCCCACTTCACTGGATCGGACTAAAGACTGCCTACCTCCTTAGGGTTTGAAGCAATTGGTTCGACGCGATTGGTGATCCACAGAGGTTCACGAAATTCACGGCGACGGCTCTGGCGCTTCTACCTTTCCATACATGGACAGCTGTTTCAACCTGGAAGAAGCTTACTCACTAGCATCCCCTGGCATGGTCACTCCTTGTCAACAAGTCCCGAACCTCGTGAACGTCTCTGCATGCATCCCATATCCCTCGGGGTGTCCTTCCAACTTCTCATTTTCGTTCCAAAGCGAGAATTCAGCTGGGCAACTCAAAGCATCCAAGAAAACCGGATGGCGTAATCGAGACAGAATATCAACACGCTGAAAACAACCAAGTAAAGAAACTGGTACTTCAAAGCGAATTTTCGTTTAGCACAAACTTGCCCCCTCCCTCCAAACAACCGGCCTCAGAAAAGACTTTCGAGAACTCCCAAATCCACAGCGCACCTTGAACAGCCAACAAGAACAATCATTGATGGACTTACAATATCTCTAAGCATTCCACGGAATGTCTCTGACAGGGTGTCGTCTTCAATGCACTTCCGAAGGAGAACCAGGGATCGCTCATACCTGAAACGCAGAAATCAGAAAAAAAAGGATTAACGTTGCAAAAAAGAAATATTGATGGGTAGATTCCTATAAGTGGAATAATTACAGCTACCTGCGAGTGTTCATATTTCTATCAAAAACCTGGACCAAACTATGCTGCGCCATAACGAGAGCTAGGTTGCTGGAAGGCCAATTCGCAGCAAGACTTGTCCGGCTTTTCTTTCGTCTGTACCCTTCTACTAATAGCCCGTGGGCGTGAAGACCCCCTCCAACAGCCTCAGAAAACGCCTCGAACAGAATAGGTGCAGCCTGGTCATGTTCACTTATCTCCACCAGAACCTCTACTAAACATACACTCCTTTGCCTAACTCATCGCTAGCTGTTGATGTAGAAGCGGGAGACACCCAAGCGTCTTGATGTGTGGGCAGCGACACTTCTTCAATGGATGTTCCCATCTTATTTCATCCCCAAAGAATCCTAGCCCCCTGCAAGTAAGAATATTACCATTTTCCATTCCCCCATGCTGCTTTTTCGACGAGAAGCTAGCTGAAGTGGTCAGAGCAATTCATATGAAATTTTTTTAATTCATTCGCTCAGGGCACGTCGTACGCTGGGAACTGTCAGCAAAGGGGGTCGTATTTAGTCGCTGGAGGGATGAGGGTTGTATTCCTTTCGAGAAAAATGATTTCAGCTGATGACTTTTCTTGGCTTTTCCTGTTTCAGTGTCGTTATACGCCCCACCGCTCTTTGCTCGACACTTTCTTTGGGAAAAAGTGGACAATTTTCGGAAAAAAAAACTTCGAAAAAGTGGTAGGAAATGGGAGAAATAGGAAGATGGACTGTTGCATTTGAAAGAGCCTCTTACGAGAGGGCGTGCTGAATTTGATGGACGAGGATTTTGCCAGAAAGCTTCCTCCAAGGACAAAGGACATTGCTCCATTTGCAATTTCCACAGCCGTATAATAACCTGATATCCATAATTTTTGATAATGACCCTCACCTTGCTGCAGCTATCTCGGCAATGGCGGCTAAGAATGGCATCTCGATGTGATAGACGCGGCGAGCCCAAGCTGACAAGCCATGAACAGCTTCGTTTTCTACACCTAACTGCTGCCATAGCTCGCCTCCAGCATCAGTATTGCCATGGACTGGCCCGACACCGGTGGGGCTGTCTCACCTGAAACACTGCATATTAAGCACTTTTCATGACTTTGTAGCCTGCTACAATAAGTTACCAGTTTGGCTGACGCGCACTACTGCGCGAATGGTTAAACCTATGCTGCTGATCAGTGGCGGAATTTTTACGGTGGCCCCTAACACATCGCCTATCAGGGCACAGCATTGGTTGGGGAATCCCCATGGGGGGGGGTCGTATTTGGCCGCCAGGAGAGGGGGGGTCGTAATGAGTGCGTAGCCAGTATCGAGCAGCGCAAAGGTGTCAATGTGCTGAGTCCGGTACAGCGAAGCTTACTTTGTAGAGAACTCGAATATTTGAAAAAAGGACAAATTTTTCAGCCATAAAAATGCGAAATAACTGGAATTTAAATGAGTCGGCATCATCTCGTAAGTCCGTTGATGACTAAACAGTAAACGCATACTCTGATTTGCTGCAGATGATGGGGCGTGTCCGCGATTGCGCTTGGGGCTGAGCCAGCCTATTTTTTTCGACAAGCGACACGACTACCATATCGTTCGTATCAGACGTTTTCCAGCAGTTGGTCTCCTTTATCGGAGACAGCAATTGGAGGAGCACAGATCGGGCGGCGTCACAGACACGCTCCATCATCCACAAGGGAAAACACTGTAAACAAGTGCACAGGTTCGTCATAGACCTCCCTGAATACTATAGACACATTTGCTCGCGTGAACAGACATTACGCACACGT